TGAGGGAATTGATTTGTGCTGATTAACAAGTATGTCAAATGTGTTATTGTTTTTCAATTAAAGGCCTGTATTTTTTTTTTAATAAATGTACTTTATCTAAATGAATAAAACCTTGGCTTTAGATTTCCTAAGCAACATGATAGTCTTACCAGTCTCCATAAAATCTATTTTTTTCCTGCAAAAAAACACAGATTTCATAATGCCTTTGTAAATGTATAGGTTAACAATCTGTAGCTAGTTCCTCAACAGAGTGGATATATAAATATATACATTTATTTTCTATGTTAGTTCTGCCATCACTATTACACTTATAATATTCATTAATACTAATCTTTTGGTTTTGTTTTCCTGTTTAGTTGGAGCAACAACATGTTTCCATAGTTACGTTTTTTCTTCTGCAACAGTAATTATCAATAAGTATAATGTTTATGCTTTATTCAACAGTTTTACAACTTTATTAATCCTGTTAAAAAACATATCTGACACAATTTTTTTAAACAATTAATTTATGATAAACTTTCAATACAGGTTACTTTTTCATCAGATTACGTCTCACAGTAACAATAACAAATTAAAAAATAAAATGTTGAAATTATCATCTGAAAATTCAGTAATTAAATTTGTCTCCATGAATAAATTCAAAATACACTTTGTCAGTTTGTGCATGCTCATAGAAATCCTCATATACTGGATCCTCCAAATACTGGAATATATAAAGGAGAAAAATACATGATTACTCTGAATGAACAGGTATAATCCATCAAATTTTTGTCATTTCAACCTGTGTGGTTCATCAGGGCTCAGCTTCTCTTTCCTCACTCTCACCTGCACCTCCTACTCCTTTCTACGGGAAAAGTAGAGAGTAGAAAGCAGCTACATTAGGGATGCAGAACATTCACTATAAAGAGTAGCAGGGAAGTCAGTCTAGTCAAGCAGCCGCAGAGACCAACCCACTTCCTCTCAGCTGCAATCTTATCATTTAGGGGGAAAAAACAGCCAGTGAAAAAAATTCCAGGCTGTGTTACACTCACAGCACTGCAGAGACTTTAAGAAGTTTTCTGTTTTCTCTGCAGGTCACATTCGGTTCATGTTAAAAACAAACAAAAGTTATAATTGCTTCATTCCTGCATAAAAACTGCAAATATGGTTTTACTGACGTTACATATCAACTGCTGCCCAGTTTCTAGTAACAAACTCTGGAGGTGAATGTCTCATTTGCAAAAAACAAAAAATCTGAAAAAAGAAAAGATATTTAGACCATCACTGAACACCTTTAGACAAAACCAGTGACAGAAACTGCTCTGTATAAAGAGCACTTGACTACACGACATAATGATGATCAGTGAATTAAAACCCCAGACTTCTGCAGTCATACTGGCTTCAGTCATACTGATCTCAAAGCAATAAATAGACAAAACTGTCCAGTTGTTAACTGGCTGATAGTAAAACATGAGATCCAGGAGGAACAATGCGCTTTTGGTCCCGGCTGCAGCACACTGGACCAGCTCTATACCCGCCATCGAGTCCTTGAGGGTTTGTGGGAGTTCACCAAACCAGTCCAAATGTGTTTTGTGGACCTGGAGAAAACGTTCAACCGTGTCCCTCATGGTGTCCTGTAGGGGATGCTTCGGCAGTATGGGGTCCAGGGCCCTCTGTTAAGGGCTGTCAATTCACTGTATGACTGCAGCAGGAGTTTTGCTTTACCGGCAGTCAGACCTAAAAGTGTCCTGTCTGGCAATGTGGCAATAAGAATAACTGTCTTGATGCCAAAAAGTGAGCCCAACAGATTTTACTTTCACAAGTAGAGCAGTAGGGTTATCGCCATAGTGTTCTACTTGATTTATGCATATAGATTTTATTACAGTATTACAGATTATATGGACACTGCAATGTAAGTAGAACAGGAAAATAGAAACAGAAAAAAGGAGAAAAGATGAAAGAAGAGGAGATAAAAGGGAGACAATGATAACACGTCTTCAATCTGCTTCATAACCTGCAAAGAGATGTAAAAAGAACAGCACAACCAACGGATATAGTATAAGAGATACAATAATGTAACTCCTTGATACGATCGCCGAAGTATAAGTAGTATTAATAGTACCTGAGGCCAAGCGCCTATAGTTGTTTGTGAGATTGCACTCGTGCATGTAAAGCTTATCCAAAGGAAAAATGCTCAATAGTTGTTGTAAAGAGCCAGGCATGTCCTAATGGGACCTCGTAGAAGGCCCAGGACATGCTGGAGGGACTAGGGCTGCGATGGAATTTATGAAGGCCAGATTCGAAGGCTGATTACATCATAGTGTTGTGCCGAGATCTGGTCGGATTACAAGACTCCTCGTTATGCAGCCTACAAATGCGTCCTTCTTTTTGCAACAATTTGAAGGATGGGTCAATTGTATCCTATCTATCCTTGGTTTTCCCAGGAATCATTGCAAGACCAATCAAGGCGGCTGCTCCGTGGGAAATGTTTTAATTACATCCCCCAGTTATGTTCAACCCCATTAACTATCTTTTTTCAATTATCATTTTTAAAGTGAACATGCTACAGTTCACTTTAGAATACTTTTGGTAAAATGTTCTTTAAAACCCTATGGTAATTTATCTGCCTATAGCTTGTTACTATGATTTGGCATCAGTTTATGGCTGCATTAGATCCCATTTGTTGCTGTTTTTCATTCACCATTAATTTGAGTGTCTTCATTCATTTGGGTCTTTGTTCTTGCTAAATAGTAATTGAGTATTTTTGTCACCATGTTATCTAGGAGCATTAATACCTCCATTATTAATATAATTTCAATGTATGTGTGCTGACAGATCGACAGTCCTCAGTGTAGCATCATTTTAGAGATCGAGATGGAGAGAGATTAATGGACATCTACTGTGCTGGGCTGTAATTGCAGTATCCCATCTCTTAGGGAGAATCCTCACTTGCACTTACCTCATACTGAGTGGACTTCATTGTGGAGGGAACTCAATAGAGTGTTCTCAGAACCAAGTAAGAGAAATGGGACTGGGCCTAAGAGGCCAATGTTCCCGGTCCAGCCTTGATTTTAATCGCTTGATGTTTAAGTTAATCAAACAGGGTAAAAGGTGGTGCCAGTGAGATCCAACTTACAGTATTTTTACCTTAGCTACGTTGAGCTAAAACATCACATATTCTTAGTCAATTGTTTGTTTGAGTCAACAAATGACCTATTTAAAAGATTGAGAAAAACATGTATTAATTTTTACTTGACTTAGTTGTTTTCTTTGTTTCTCTTTTATTTCTCTATTTCCTTCCTTCCTTCCTTCCTTCCTTCCTTCCTTCCTTCCTTCCTTCCTTCCTTCCTTCCTTCCTTCCTTCCTTCCTTTACTTTACCCCTTTAGAAAACCATGGTTCACATGTGTAGTTGTGTTTTTTTTTTAATGAACCATCAGACCTGCGTTGGTAATCTATGTGGCTAGGAAAGGA